GTCAGATTTGGGGCCTGCCGCGGCTTTGGGCATCTTGGTGGCGCCGTGTGGCACGGCTTTATCCGGGCGCTTCATTTTCCGCCTGTTCGAGCCGAGGGTCTTCTCCCTTTCCGGGCTGCGGGATGAGCGCGCTTCGAGCTCCTCGCAGGTGTCCTCCGCTGCTCCTTCCTCCGCTGCTTTTTCACTCACCAGCCCCTGTGCTGCTGGGGAGATGGGAAAAGGAGAAAAAGGGCAGAGCATGGCCTCGACCGGAGCCGGGGGTGGCATTTAAATTGATGGAGCGGGAATGGGACTCCCAGATAAAAACCTGGTTTCCCAGAGAGAAGGAAGAGAGATGCGATGGGAGACCTGATCCCAGTTTGAACTGGGAATGTGGAAATGCTGAGCGCACCCCATTGCCCGTATTTCCAATGAAAAAAAAAATAAAAAAAAATGCGGAGAGATCAATAACATTTTCCTGCAGAAAATTCGAGGAGAGGGCTGGGATTTGGGGAAATCCCTCTCAAAACCTGCCTGGATTCTTCCTCCCCTCTTCCCATCCCGCTCGCAATCCCTTTGCTTCCCTGCCAGAGACAGGAAAAAAAAGAGCAAGGAAAAAAGGGGGGGGGGATGTTCAAGAAGGAAAGAGGATTTTTTTGTGTTTGCTTACCGAGGGACATCAGCGTTTCGTAGCTCTCCTGCATCACGTCCTGGTACAGGGCCTTCTGCCGCGGGTCCAGCATCACCCACGGCTCCATGGTGGGGAGAGGCACAGGCAGCCAGGAGAATGAAGGTTTTTCCCTCCGTTCCTTGCTCAAGGCTCCTCAAAATCCCCTGTGGGGAAGAAAAATCCCTTGAAATGAAGGAAATCCCCCCGTGTAGTGCTTCTTACTTGCGTTTTGATGCTTTTTCTGGGGGTGCCTCGAGAAATGTTGGGTTTTTTTCTCCCCGGGTTGCAGCACACGGACAGTCCCTCCGTCCAGGACTAAGCCTGAGCCTCCACGGAGCAGCTTGGAGATGGGGGGGCAGCAGGGTCCCTGTTTCCCCCCATCTTTCTGGCAGACCACGTCCCTCAGCAATCTCTGCCCTCCTCCCTCCAGCATCCCGGTTCCCCCAGTCCTCATCTCACTGGGAGTCAGCCCTCCCAGGGTGATGGGACGTTGGGGGACATGTCCCAGGAGCTGGGCTGTGTGCCCCATCCCCAGGGAGCCCTGGATGCACGCAGGGACCAGGGCTCCTTCTCCATCCTGCTTAGCTACCGTCCTCTCCCCAAAGGAACCGCTGCTCCTGGGAACATCCCCGAGGGCCAGATCCTGCAAGCTCCAGCCCCGACGCAGCTCAGGACCCGCTGCAGAGCAGGGGCACATCCCTGCCCTGGGATTCTCCCCATTACCTGCAGTCCCCGGCTCAGGACTCGCTGTCAGCCGAGCCTGGAGCTGCCTCCACAGGGCTTTCTCCGGGAGAAGCGACCCGCCTTCCCAGGCTGAGGCTGCAAGGAGAGGGGGATGCACAGACCCCTCCTTGTACCCCGAGGACCGCCGAGCCTTCTGACAGCGGGGCACAATGGAGGCGACGCCGGGCATGGCTTTACTCCGGAAGCCCAAGCCGGTATCCGGGAGAGAGGAGACGACAAGAACAGGCTCCTCGGGGGCAGCGTTTAC